TAACCTTTAAAGAAAATCAAACTTAAGCCTTCACAAGAAAGTAGTGAAGCAGAAGAAGATATTCGAGTTTGATACTTCTGAAAGAAAGAGGGAGCGAACCCGTTAGCAAAAGATTATTCGAGTTTTATGCTTCCTAAAGAAAGAGGGAGCGAACCCGTAAGAAGAAGATGTTCGAGTTCCATACTTCCTGAAAGAAAGAGGGAGCGAACCCGTTAGCAGAAGATTATTCGAGTTCTATACTTCCTAAAGAAAGAGGGAGCGAACCCGTAAGAAGAAGATGTTCGAGTTCCATACTCCCTAGAGAAAGAGGGAGTGAACCCGTTTGAAGATGTTCGAGTTCCATACTCCTTAAAAAAAAAGAAGCGAACCCGTTTTCAGAAGATTTTCGAGTTCCATACTCCTTAAAGAAAGAAGGAGAGAACCCGTTTTCAGAAGATTTTCGAGTTTCATACTCCCTAGAGAAAGAGGCAGCGAACCCGTAAGAAGAAGATGTTCGAGTTTCATACTCCCTAGAGAAAGAAGGAGCGAACCCGTTTGAAGATGTTCGAGTTCCATACTCCTTAAAGAAAGAAGGAGCGAACCCGTTTTCAGAAGATTTTCGAGTTCCATACTCCTTAAATAAAGAGGGAGTGAACCCGTTTGAAGAAGATATCCAAGTTCCATACACCCTAGAGAAAGAGGGAGCGAACCCATTTGATGAAGATTATTCGTGTTCTATACTCTCTGAAAAATTAGGGAGCGAACCCGTTTGAAGATTGTTCGAGTCTTATACTCTCTAAAAGAAATAGGGAGCAGACGCGATTATTGAAGATTGTTCGAGTGTCATACTCTCTGAAGGAATAGGGAGCAGACACGATTATTGAAGATTATTCGAGTCTCATACTCTCTGAAGAAATAGGGAGCAGACACGATTATTGAAAATTGTTCGAGTCTTATACGCTCTGAAGAAATAGAGAGCAGACACGATTTCAGAAGATTTTTCAAGTCTCACTTACCACGGAGGAGGAGTGGAGCAGATATTTTATCAAATTTTAAAGCAAGAAGATGGAACTGGACAGAAACACCCAAGTATGATAAATCATCCGGGCCATTTTAAACCTTCTCGAAAGAGCGTTGGAGCAAACCATCAGATCATCAGATGTGGAGGGAAACCGGAGATTCTCGGGTACGAAGAAGCAAAGCAATCGATTAAGAGGGCTTGTGCACGTGAGATGAAGACAAAAGTCAAGAAGAAGATTGAAGAAGGGAAGTGACGTTACAATCATACAAAATTAGGTCATTATTTTTGTCTTTGCCACGTTCTTGTGTTCACACCAACGAGCAAAGAGGGGCAGCTGTAATACCCTAATTTTGTCCGGCAATTTTTTAAATTCACTTGAAGATGATCGAGAATTTATTTGGAGATTTTGTGTTCGATGATGAACTAATTCAAGTGATAAATCGTGGAAGCTTGCATTTGGGTTAATATGAAATCGAGAAGCTTTAGGTGTTAAATTGGATTGTAATCATATTTATTTCAGTTTGGAATTCAAGAGATAAATTGGAACAAAAGAAATCGATAAAGCAAAGCGATAGAAATACGAAGACTCTTAAGGTACATTCAAAACAGTCAAGTGGACAGTGTACGTCATCCATATTGATTGCCAATTTTGAACACGTTACAAGCATATTTGGATGAGTAAGTCTTCTTAACTTTTAATCCTCTATCTCTTACCTTTCCAACGCACTTTGAATCGTATCAATCCGATATCGGTAGCTCAAGATATGCTCATATAAATAAGGACTGTGCAGGCTGGATAATTAATACGGGAATTACGAATTTTCAACAAACCTTTGTTTTCCATTCACTTGCATAATAGACACGTTGGATCAGCACTTGGGAGCACTAAGGAGTGTATAACCAGCTGAAATTGAACATAAACAGCACACAAAGAGAGGGGAACAACACGTGGAATCAATTTCCAGCATTGTCTCTAAACACCCATGCTTGATGACTCACCCATGCACTCATACATGTGGAGACATGTCATACGCCCATAATGAACCAATATCCAGCTTTGTTTTCAACCAGCCCCATACACTAAACATGTCCAGCAAAGACCATGAAGAGTTGTCTCCACCACTTGAAGGATAACAGCCCATGAACCTCACGAATCTGTCCCAGAATGCGCGGTGGAGTGGAGCACTTAGGAGACAAATCCAGCTCACCATCCATTCAGCATTTCATGGCAGATCATGGGCAGCTTAATGGAGAGTAATTTAGGCTGGAAATGCATTATAACAACTCACACAGCATGGCACAATAGTTATTGGAGCATAAGGACACGTTGGACAGCTGAAAAACAGGAACCACTCACCAATTCAAGGGATAACGTGGACAGTTTATTGGAGAATCATGGCTGGAATTGCACCAGACCCACCAGCTTTGTCTTGATGAATTATTTTCCCACTTAAATAAGGGAAGAGGTCATGAACAGGGGGGATCGGCCATTCAGAAAAAAAAAAGAATTCAAAGAGGAGGCCATTCAAGCAAGAGGATTCACGAACAAAAATCTACAAAGGGGGGCATACGTCCGAGCAATATTTGGTTCCATTATTAGTTGCGGCATCCAGGGAAGGGAAATACAAACGAGTATTTTGAGTTTTGTAAGTAAAAACAAACATATTTTAAGTATTGAATCGATTCGTTTAAGCCCTTCCGTATATGTTTGATTTCGTTCATTTAGATTCATGATTTTTTTTCGCTATATGTTTTCTCTTTAGCTACAGTGATGGATTATTGATTTAGTTCCTAATGTTCATTAGTAATATTACAAGTATTTGATGTTAAGATGCTGTTTTTTTTTCATGGTAATTAATATGCACATAGGGTAGTTTATCTTAGGATACTATTATCGATTTGTGTTAATATAACAAGGGTAGCAATGTAGGTTAGGCAAGTTAAGTACAGTGTCATGTTTTTTGGCTTGAGTGTTCGAGGTTTAAATGTTTGATAATGTTGTTGGATGTGAACTAATGCTTGGGTTATGTGGATGCATGTTATAATCTTTGTTACCCTTATAAAATATATCATTGTGTTAGTACATATATTAAATACGTGATATGGTTGTGTGAAATTGTCATGCTCTTCGTTTATTTACCGAAGTATGGTTCATGTATGAATAATGGATCTTTGTTAATTAATTTAGTGCATGTTAAGTGCTTTTAGAATATGTATATTCGTATAAATGTTTAGTCACATGACATCCTTTGTATGATTGCATGATAGCCCCACGTGCATAATTCAACTTGATTACATAATCGGATTAAGGGTAATACCCTTTTAATTTAAAATTGCAAGAATAACTTTTCTTAACTCACAGGGAAGTTATTCTTAACGGTTTTAAATTACAAGTGTATCCCGTCATTGTCACCAAAAATGGATTATTCACTTTAAAATTTGGAAGTGAAAGAAAAAGAAATGTTCGGCTATTTAAATTTGTTGAGAAAAGGTCGTTAGAACTGACCTAAAGATCTGGTCTCAATATATTTAAATAATCGAACGTTCTTTATCTTTCTAATGGCTTGGTAATTTTAATATAACTTATTTCGTTGTTTTTTAATGTTACAAATTTGCATTTTGTTGTTTTGAGGGATCATAAATTAAATTGAAGATGAACTTGTAAATTTCGTTGCAAAGACATTAATTAATCGACTAGGTACTGATTTAGGGCGTTGTGGGGGTGCTAATCCTTCCCCACACGTAATCGACTCCCGAACTTGGATTTTGGTAACGTAGACCGTAAATTTGTCGTTTTAATTAAAATTAATTTTTATTTAAAATGACAACGTTTTTGGGTGTCCAATCACACCCTAATCAAAGATTGGTGGCGACTCCTCGAACCATATGTTTTTATCGTAAATGAATTTCCAAATTTTCGAAACGAGAGGTTTTCTAAAAATCACATTGTTTTTAATTAAAAATTCAATTGAAAAGAGAATAATTAAAAATGATGCGTTTTTCTAAATCTCGCTTCCCCACCGTTTTAAAAATCGTTTCGACACTTGTCTTCTCCTAGAAACTTAAGATATGTGGCTCTATAAACATTGAGCATGGTGATTGAGAAGTATTCGTGATTTTCTTCGATATGAGCTCGAACTTTCTCGTTGTTCATGAACCAACATAATCGACCTGCTATGCGAAACATAAATATATATAATCATATTTCTATGATGTTGTAAGAATTTAAAAGAAACCAAGACGAAGTTTTTTTTAATTGAATCGTACCAGGCGATACGGTATAACCATGCATGCGGAGTAGTCGAAATGCTAAAGAATCTTTGTGCAACTGGATTGCCACATCTGCATTATTTCCTGACTTTTCTGGTGACTCTCGAGTTTTGTAATTCCTGAAAGTTTTAATAATAGATCGACGTCAAAGGCTAGGGATGTTTATCAATCGTGGTAGTCGAAAAAGAGAGTTTTGGTTTTTATTGGAAGAATATTAATGTTACACGTGTGTATTTCCTAACGTACCAGTAAATCATGGCCAAATTGTCTTCAATTTCACGTGTAAAATGGTCAGCTAACCCCAATCTTTGTAGGTGATTGACCAAACAAAGCCATATTAGCTCTTCATCCATGGGAAAAGTTGGTGGAACTGCATAAAACATAATTTGTTCTTTTTAAAAGAATACTTTTATGAAGCAATCTATCCATGTGATGTCATATGATTAGAAATAAAATAAAATGAATTTGATTTTAATTTTAATTTTTTCTATGATAGGTTAGATTTAACCAAATATAAATCCTTAAAAAAGTAAAATGCAAAGTGAGTAGTGTATTGACAGGCTTGAGGAGATTTCTTCTGATTCTTCTCTTCAAGCTTATAGAGAGGTCATTTCCCTTGTTGATGCTCTTTTTAATCTGGGATTGATTGGTAAAATACGTTTAAAGCGTGGTTTTCAGTTTGTCGTGGTGGTTGTTTATCGGTAAGATACATTTGAAGTGTGTGGGAAGATGTGCTAATCTTCAAATGGTAGTCGGAAGATGTGCTAATGGAGGTCAGCCAAATTAAACTTCAACGTTTGTTCTGCATTTGCCTTGTTACCTCAAAATTTATTAAACCTCCATTAGCACATCTTCCGACTATCATAGAAAAAATTAAAATTAAAATCAAATTCATTTTATTTTATTTCTAATCATATGACATCACATGGATAGATTGCTTCATAAAAGTATTCTTTTAAAAAGAACAAATTATGTTTTATGCAGTTCCACCAACTTTTCCCATGGATGAAGAGCTAATATGGCTTTGTTTGGTCAATCACCTACAAAGATTGGGGTTAGCTGACCATTTTACACGTGAAATTGAAGACAATTTGGCCATGATTTACTGGTACGTTAGGAAATACACACGTGTAACATTAATATTCTTCCAATAAAAACCAAAACTCTCTTTTTCGACTACCACGATTGATAAACATCCCTAGCCTTTGACGTCGATCTATTATTAAAACTTTCAGGAATTACAAAACTCGAGAGTCACCAGAAAAGTCAGGCAATAATGCAGATGTGGCAATCCAGTTGCACAAAGATTCTTTAGCATTTCGACTACTCCGCATGCATGGTTATACCGTATCGCCTGGTACGATTCAATTAAAAAAAAACCTCCGTCTTGGTTTCTTTTAAATTCTTACAACGTCATAGAAATATGATTATATATATTTATGTTTCGCATAGCAGGTCGATTATGTTGGTTCATGAACAATGAGAAAGTTCGAGCTCATATCGAAGAAAATCACGAATACTTGTCAATCTCCATGCTCAATGTTTATAGAGCCACAGATCTTAAGTTTCCAGGAGAAGATAAGCTCGAGGAGGCGAGATCCTTTTCTAGGAAAGTGTTGGAGAAAATTGCGTTGAAAGATACTAGCTTTGGATGTACCGGGCTGAAGAAAATGGTAATCGAATCCTCCCCGCATCATATTAAAAACTATATATAGAAAGAGAATTAGTGGTATATTAATGTAACTAAAATTGATTTCCTAGTTTGTGATTGTGTAACAGATGGAGCATGAACTGAGATTTCCATGGATCGCTCGACTGGATCGTCTGGACCATAGAGCATGGATCGAGGACAGCAATAATACCATTTTGTGGGTAGGCAAGACCTCCTCCCACAGGTATACATATATAATATCAGCTTAACTTGACATTACTAAAATGATTAAAAATCTTAAAGAAATGCCTCGTCAAGGTCAAATACTTAAACATCAAACCTTTTGGAAGCAGATTGTCAACCCTGTTAAATAAGAAGCTATTGCAACTTGCTGTGGCGGAGTATGAGTTTAGACAGTCAACATACAGGAATGAGTTGGAGGAAGTTACACGGTGCATGTTCTTTTATATCATCGTCATCATCAGATCAGAATATGTTCTTTTATATCATCGTCATCATCAGATCAGAATACAAGATTTAGTATTTAATCTTAATTTTATGGAGAAAAAAAAACTAACCAGCCAAATAACTCTGTATAAATTATATATACAGGTGGTCCAAGAGCAGGGGTATGAGCGACATGGGATTTGGCCGAGAAAGAACTACGTACTGTTACTTTGCCATTGCTTCCAGCATCCCATTGCCGTATGACTCTGAAGTTAGGATGATAATCACAAAAAGTGCCGTTGTGATAACCATTGCCGACGATTTTTATGATACGGAAGCTTCTTTCGATGAATTGAACAGCCTCACCGATGCAATCGCAAGGTAATTTCCAATCACAGAACCAACAGGCTAATTTTCAATCCACTGATATGTAATTGAAACGTATTGTAGATGGGATGCTAAGGGATTGAGTGGTCACAGTAAGACCATCTTTAATGCCCTTGATGATCTCGTCACTGAAATTGTAGCTAAAGTTCTGCATCAGAATGGAATTGATATCACATTTTTTCTTCAGCAGACAGTAAGATTACACAACAAATCGGCGGTTCACTTATTTTTTTTCCCTTCGAAAACTAAATAACTTCTGTTTTTATTTACAATGAAGTGGTATGAAACGTTTAATTCATGGCTTGTGGAGGCGGGGGCAAAGTGGAGCATGGGTGGATTTGTTCCATCAACAGAAGAATACCTTGGAACTGGAATGGTATCCATTGCTCTACATACCCTTGTTCTTCCAGCTTCGTATCTGTTGAATCCAAGCCTAACAGACTGCAAAGTTAGGGCAGGGGAATACCAGCCTGTTACCAAATTGTCAATGCTTATACCTCGTTTACTCAACGATATACAGAGCTATCAGGTGAAAATCGTTGAATCTTCCAGATGCTGTTCCTTTCTATTTAAACAAGATCATTGCTAATAATTTATCCAAACAATCACAGAAAGAACAAGAAGAAGGGAAAATGAACTATGTTTTACTGTATATGAGAGAGAACCCCGGAGCAGACATCGAAGATTCGACTGCCTATGTTCGAGAAATACTTGACAACAAGTGGGGAGAGTTTCTCCAACATGTTCTGATGGATGATAGATTGGGAGAATTGCCAAAAGCATCCAAGTTTCTCCACTTATCATGCGTCAAGGTGTTCCAGATGTTCTTCCATTCGAGCAACAGATATGATTCCAACATGGATATGCTTCAAGACATCCAAAAGGCAATATATATCCCTCTAGATATTGGATCCAACTCAAAGTGATCAGCGTTATTTGTTGAGAAATCAATATTAGCCTAAATAAGTCTACACCAAAATTAATTTGATGTCATTGCTTACATCAATTTAGTTTTAATGTCATTGTTTACGTGAATTTAGTTAGCTGAAAATTAGGTATTTTTTTTTCATTTTTAATTTCAATGGTTTAAATTATTTTTCGGTTATTTTAATGAGTGGTTTAGATTGGTTCTTGTAACCTAGAAATACCCCATTTGTATTTGAATTTTATCATCCAACAATAAAAGCTTAATTACAAGCATTTGAAAGCTTTCTTAAGAGTTCTTCCTCTTTTACAATTTTGTGAGATTATTCTAAAGAGTGTTTTTATTCTTCTCGTTCAATTAGAGTTTTTACTCTATTTTGATTCAACATTAATGAGATAGCAATCAACGATCAAACTCCCCCACTGGTCCATCCCCTTCCAAATATGAAATACCAAAGATTGAGCTACCTACCTCTTCATTTGCCTACTATGTCTATATGTTATGTAAGTTTTAGTTACCAAAAGTGTTTCCTTTTAGCTATTTTAAACTCTAATGGGATGTTTGATTAAAAAATATAAGTTTATATTTGATAATATTATTATGTTTAGTTTATGTAACTTAAATATGCAATATTTTCTTGTTTGATTGATGAAATATAAAGTTATTTAAAATATATATATTAATCCATTAATATAAAAAATAATTCTTTACTGCACAAAGAATAAAGGTTACAATATTTTATTTTGATGATAAATAAATGCACTTCTCTAATAAATTAATTTCATATTTCTAAAGTTTTTCTTTTGATCAAATGACTCTTGGAAAAATGTGATTAAATACATGATATTTACTATGCTTTAAAAGAACATTTGAACGATAGAATAAAGAGGAACGTAAAATCTAAAATCTAATATATAGATAAAATGCCAATTTTCACACCTTATAACAACAACGATAATAATATAAAATAGTTGATTGTTAGAACAGTGAGAATCAATAACCATTAGGCCCCGTTTGGTTCACGGTAAATTTTATTCCTGGGAGGAATGTTTTCTTCCCAAATTAATATACCCACGTTTGGATGGGCGTCATTACCAAGTACCGGTAATAAACTAATACTAACAGTGAATTTTTTACTGTTTTCCCGGGAATACTAATCCCTCATCTCCCTTAGGTATTTGCTCATTCCCGTCCCGTTGTCTAAAATAGCCTTCTCCCCCTTCGTGGTTTTCTCAGTAAGATTTCCTCTGGTAAGATTTCTCATCCACTCTCTTTCTTTTATTTTCCCAGTAATGTTACTTGGTTTCCATATTTTGTGGTTTTATTTCTGAAACCTCTTGAATCTTTTCCTAATGTTGGGTTTGATTCCTATTTTCAACCTCCTATTTTGTGTTGATTCTTTTCCCCTGCCTTAGATTCTTTTCCTGATAGTCTATTTTCAGAAAATTAAACTGAATTCGACCTCCATGCTTTTGATTTCAGCTTGTGGTGAGTAAAAGTTTCGTCGTTAGGATCCAAAAATCACATGAAACTCATACTTTCTCTGACTTTGCTTCCTATTTTATTCATTTTGTTATCCACAAAGTACACAATTTCGTGCTTTCCCAACTAAGCTTGTTGCTTTTTGTATGTTGTTTAGGGTTTTTATAGTCCTCCATGCCATAGGTTTTAAGTTTGAGACTTTGTTTCATAAAAAAAAATCTTTCAATTGTTTCTTGGGTTCTTTTCCCTTTGTGTGCTTGAGTTTTATTACGTTACCCATTTTTGCTGTCGAAAAATACAAAATTGAATATAGAGGTCAATGCTTTTTAATTGCTTTCTCGTTTCCTTTCCCTTTGTGTGTTTGTGTTTTAATTTTTTTTCTTTTGTGAGAATTTTTCAGGCCTATATTCTAATTGAATTATTCTCTTCACTCCCTGTGGAATGGTTTTTCTGCTTATCATTGTTAGGCTGTTAACCTATTTCTGATATTGCTTGAGTTTGATTGTTGGTTAATAGAGTAATTACATTAAATTTATATCATATTTGGTGCTTGAAGATGTATGGTGAATGGTGAGATATGTCATTCATTATCATGAACATGGTTTTCCTGTTAGGATGGATAGATTGTTTATAGTGTAAGAAATCTTTATATATGAATAAAAAGTTTTTCCTTTTCTGATAAATAAAGTTAGCAGCACTTAAAATGACAAATTGAATTGGTGGTCTTGAGCTTTAACCTTTTTTGACCAAAATCTGTTGGATTACAAGAACAAAGAAAACAAGCTGAATTGTGGGTGCCCGACTCTTGAACTTAATTCTGCTTAGTTTATTTATGGTATGATATATATTTTAGAGAAACAAGCAATTCCTTTTATATGTTTTCTGTGTGTGTTGGGTATTATGACAATCTGATGTTTTTATTGCATATATGGTTGGTTTTTATGTTGGATAAGTAGTTCATGTTCTGAGAGAATGTTCTTGAACAAAATTAGGTATCGGTGCGAAGATCCCAAGAAAATGTTTGCTTCTTCATGTTTCTTTGGAATCACCTAATATTCAAGAAACTCTTCTTGGGAGAGTTTCATGCATGGTTGGCAGAGACCGAATTTGGTAACAAGGTCTGTTGTGTTTTCCATAGCTTGTATCTGTTCTTTACTTATATTGTTTTTATTTAGGAAACACACCCCCATGTATGGTTGTCCAGTACATAGAAATGGATGGACAATCTTTTCATGAGCAACAGTTTCAAGGTGGAAATGATTAGCTACGATGAAGTAGCTAAACGTTTAGGTAAGGTAGTGAAACCGGGAGATTCTGAGAACATACTATTTGTTGCAGAGCAATTGCGGTGTTTGGATGATCAGGTACAATTGATTATTTTTTCCGGTTCAAATTGTGAAGCGTGAGAGTGCATTAACTTACATTACAGATGAAGGTGCCATTACAACTAATTCAGCTCATATTGTATCTCCTATTTCCTTTTGTTGGTTGCTTTTGTGTTGTACATAATAACCGTCTCATTCGTTGATTTCGTTGATGGTGTGAGTTGAAGTGGCATGTAACTAATGACATATTTTCATTTTTGGAAAAGACGGAAACTTGGAGGAGAGAGCTTCAAATGGCGGTGGAAGATGGCGATGAGGAAGGGTTTGAGGAACTCTAAATATAAATATGTTTTTTTTGGGGGGGGGTTGTTTTCTGGTTAGAGTCTGCAATGAAATTCTCCTTTCTGTTCCGTTATTTCTTGCTAATTTTCCCGTTTACGTGTACATAAGAAGTCTTGAGAATATATATTTTTTTCTTTTTGGAATACATAAAAGGCTTCTGTTCTCGGTCTCCACCAACTGGAAAGTAATGTTTGTTAGCAGTTTGTGTGTGCATATGTATAATCGACTTTGATTCTTGAACCTAATACACTTATATAAAAGTGAAATTTGATTCGACTTAGAAAGTATTTTTTTTAAATGCTGAATTATTAGAGATAAATAGTGAATTACTTGAGTTAATTTACATTTTTACTTGAATTTTTCAATTTCGAATTGAAAATTAAAATAATATTGTTTTAATATTTAATTAATTTGATTATTATGTAATCTTTTATTTCATTATTTTTTTCAAATTCTCTTTAATTTTAAGTCCATTCTGACTAAATTTAAACTGCATGTCTTCAACCCCTATAATTATAAAGTGTAACTTCAGTTTTTCTCACAACAATGGTTTTTTTAATTTAATTCCTCAAATTTATACTTTATATTTAATTTGATCTTCTTACTATAATTCTTTTTAAATTATTATTTTTAAGTTGAAAACAATCAATATTGTAACATTATATTTAATTACACTCATGTTTAAACAACTTCTCAACAAATATATTCAATTTAACTAAATTCAAATTTTACAAACTTAATTAAAATAAATAAATAAAATTTAAATGATAAAACAATATCTTTAAACTTAATTTCTTTCCCTTAATTTCGTTGAATAATCTCTCCTGATCAGAACATTGCACTAATTTAATTAGACGAGTGAATTGACTTTTTAAGACAATGATAATATATTTTTAGATAAATAATATAAAAATTAATATTATTTATAATTAAAACAATACATTATATATTTACTCTTTTATTCTACCCATTTTACTTTTAAATTTTATAAAAAAAATTATATATAAATTTTATTAAAAAGTATATAAATTTAGAATAATAAAGAAATATATTTTCGATGATTTTTTATATAAATATTTTCATTTAAATATTTAGAATTCTACTTGTTAACACTTATAGAACAAGGACAATTTGGTAAAATATACATTCCAATAATCATTTATTCCTTCAACCAAATACTATAATCTTACATTCCTGCCAAACCAACCAAACACAGTAATGTAACATTCTCAGTAATCCTATTCCCAGGTAATCTTTTATTCCCACTGGTAATCTTACATTCCGTGAACCAAACGCACCCTTAGGGATGATAATAGGGCGGAACGAGTTTTGATTGTCCAAATCCGATTCAAAATGTTTATTTCTAAATTCAATCTTTAATTAAATATTAATTAATTTATTTATAATCTGATGTGAAACTTGATTTCAAATTAAATATTAATGTACTCATTTTAAAGTTGATTCTAAAATTTAATTGTATATTCACCGATTAGTTTAGTGGAAAGAGATATTAGATTACTTAAGTAAGGTCTTAGGTTCAAATTTTAATATTGTGAATAGATCAAACTGAGTTGAAAAAGTCATTCTTATAAGGGATCTCTATATTATATTCAGTTCGAATTAATTGGTCAATAAAACAAATAGTGTTGGTTAAATAATATATTTATATATATAGAAAGAGAGAATTTTCCTCTTAGGGTGCGTTTGGTTCACGGAATGTAAGATTACCAGTAGTAATAAAATATTACCAAGGAATAGAATTACTGGGAATGTTACATTACTGTGTTTGGTTGGTTTGGCAGGAATGTAAGATTATCGTGTTTGGTTGAAGGAATAAAAGATTACTGAAATGTATATTTTACCAAATTGTCCTTGTTCTATATTTTTAACAAGTAAAATTCTAAATATTTAAATAAAAATTATTTTAATAAAAATTTTATCTGTTGATAATATATTACTTGAGTATTTAAATATATCATATATTATTTTAATTTTAATTAATATTAAATTTTACATAATTTATGGTAAAAATATATTAATGTTTACATTGTGGAAACTAGCTTCAGTTCATATGTGACGCATTCACTATGAGGTTTATTGTATTTTTCAATCGACAAGGTTTACATTCTTCTATGTACAATAATTTATCATAGATATTCATAATAATAAAAAGATATAAATTATTTTTGTTATCTAAGATATAATATTTATTATATCTTCTATATACAATAATTTATTTATTTATCTTTTATATTTATACTTAATTTTGCATACTTTCTCATTATTATTTATCTCATGAATTTATATTATAAAAACATAATTCAAATAAGTTAGAAAATGTACAAGTTGTTTCGAGTAG